CTTAATGCATGTTTTAAAAATATGGTAGTTTAATATTTTTCAATAAAAATTTATTGAAACGACGTAGTTTTGGAATGATTTTCCTCTTAATCTTTAAGAAATAAAACTGATAGGCACTATTTTCTTATACTATATAACATATTAAATTATAAAATATAACAATCAATATCCATTATTCAAATTGTACTATGCCTACATTCGGTTGGTATGTGATAGAAAAAACAAAAGCACCATAATAACTTGAATTAAAAAACAAACATGATTAAAAAGACCATCATTAGAGGAAATAAAGCAATAGTGGTTTGCTTATGCAAATCCAATGACAAAAAAGAATATTTAATTAATCTAAAATTTGATCTATGTAATAAAATAAAATACTAAATTCAACTATTAGTTTAACGATATATTAGTAATAATAAGAACTTTGAAAAAAAATCTTGAAGTTAACGTCGGTCACAGCAATTGAAATATTTCTAATTACAGTATTAATTATAAGCTAATTAGTCGACTTACCTCACAGCCATCTCTGGATCTCTGGGCAATGAACCAGAAAGTCGCCAACGATTTTTGGCAATCTTTAATACATACCCAGTACCTTCGTAGAGAGCGGAGAAAAGAGTGTTTTTTTTTCTGTTAGAGTTTGATGAGCTCCAAGGATGATGAGATCATTTATATGTATACAAATGCATGACTAAAAAAATTGAAAGCACTTTAAGTTATTCTAAACTTATCACTAAAAAATTAAAATAACTATAACTATATATTCTTATTCTTTGCTTCAACACATATACATTACAAAGATTAAAAGTACAAAATAGAAAAAAATTTAAAAAGTAATAAAAATGCATCCAAATTGATTTCCCACTAAGAAAAGGATATTGGATTGAACTTTGAAGAGTATTATTGAAGAGAGCACCTGATGACTTCATGGCTGCACTTTTCTAAGGAGTTGTTGCTTACACATGTAGAGGATAATTTTGTGCTTTGGGTTGGAATATCGGCCCCTTGTCATCCCTTTTATTTATTAAATCATAAAAAAGTCTCTTTAGTTTTTTGGTACATTTGATTAGCCATATAAAAAGGGATAATTTTTTCTTTTCTCTAAATTCTTTTCCATCCAACTCAAAATTCAAATTTAAAATCTTTAACTTGAAATCTTCAGTTTTTAATTATTGAACCATCCATTAGGGCTAAGTCTTTTCCTATCTTTTATTATTTTAAGTGTGATATAAGTAAACAAATAATTTTTTTAAAATTATTAATTTAAAGAAAATGTTAAAAAGTTACAATAATTTAAAAAAGGTGATAAAGTGATAGTTATTTCAAAATAAGGAAAGTAATTTACATAAAAAAATAAAAGTTCACATTTATTTTAACTGGTGTCCATAGAGTACATATTAAGAATACATTTAGTATACATTTTTATCATTAATACACATAATAAAAATAAAATCTAACATTAATTTTACTAATCGTTCAATAAAAAATATCCACATTGCATAGATGTTCAAATTACTGCTAATTTTTTTTATATTTTTTCATGTAAATTAATGTTAACATTAATTTTACAATTGTCCAATAAAAAAAAAAATCCACATTGCATGGATGCTAAAATTAATGCAATTTTTTTTAATTTTTTATATAAATTAATGCATAAAAGATGCATTTAAGACTCTCTTGACTTGTGCTCTTAGAATATATGTTAGACAAATTCTCATCTTAACACCATTACCATGAACATAATTTTAGTGGAGTTGTTTAAGTTATACGTAAAAGTATATGTTAAGAGTACAATAAATATAATATGTAAATTATTTTAATTGATTAATTAATTAAACTAAAATTAAAATTTACACTTTTCATATAAATTAATTATAAAATAATACATTAATTACACTTTTAATTTATGCTTTTAAGAAACAGTCTTAAAAAAACTAAATTTTAATTGATTTATTAATTAAATTAAAATTAAAATTTATATATTTTTATAAAAATTAACTAATTATAAAATCATGCAATAATGCAATCTTTAAAAACGGGCTATCAGCAGTTTTCGGTCAGTCTTCTAAACGCAAGGCGAGTGCAAGGGGCGATTGTCCTGGCACTGCTTGATGAATAATTAAACTATGGGTCTTTTAATATGTGCTTTTAAGATAAGGTCAAGGGTGGATTTATTATATTTTTATATTAATTAATATAAAAATAAAAATTTATATTGATTTTAATAATTATTTAATTAAAATT